TATATATACATACACACACACACACACATATATATATATATACATACACACACACACACACATATATATATATATACATACACACACACACACACATATATATATATATACATACACACACACACACACATATATATGTGTGTGTGTGTATATATATATATATATATTAGGGCTGTGCAATTAATCGCATGTAATTGTCATGCGCATCTCATCAGTAAAGCCGGTTCTGTGATTGGTAGTAAATCGCCATCACCTGCTTTCAGATGGAGCGGCATTCACTACACAGAGCCGTAGTTCACTGACAAGCTAGGCAATATCGTGTTCATGATCGCAGATGAATCGCATTCGATTATGAACGTGATATTGCTTAGCTTGTCAGTGAACTACGGCTCTGTGTATTAAATGCCGCTCCATCTGAAAGCAGGTAATGGCGATTTACTACCAATCACGGAACCGGCTTTACTGACAAGATGTGCTTGACAAGATGCACTTGACAATCGACCCCAAGCTTTGAATGGTATTGTGAACCATGTGAACCAGTTTGCTCTGAATATTTCGCTTTCCTCCTTTGATGAATTGTCATCTTTGTGCAAATCCTCGCTGGCAGGTTCAGCCCTGTCTCACTCCGTTCTAAATCTTCTTCTGAAGTGACAGAGAAATGATTCTCTTCCTCTCGGTACCCTCTTTCTGTCTCTCTCTCACATTGTCATTTTTCATTGTGCTTAGTTTAACAGTATTTTGAATAGTGGCAGATCTTAGTACTCTGGTTTGTACAAAATAAACATCTGCCTCTATAGATCCTTCCTAGTCAATAGTACGAAACAATCACACACAGAGAATGAGTCGGATCATGTAAGCTATTGATCTTTGTCTCAAATGGCCAGTCTGATGAGCACAGTCAGATGAATTCAGTCTTGTATGCAGGAGTTTGTGAATAAAAATATTAGCTAGATATAACAGAAATAGATGGATAAATAGATCTACACCCAGACAAACTCAAAGTTATTTCAGGTTTGAGAAGGTGAAATGTTGCTAGTATTTTCATAATGGTGAGCTAGTGAGCATATGGAACACTTTTTATGGAACAGATGTTATGTGGCGCTAAATGGAAATCAGAACTCGTATACATGCAATTACATGGTCTAAAAATACGGATCCAAGACACAATTGGCCAGTTTTAGGTAGACGTTGGTGGAACTAATGCTGTCTGACATTGATACCGTCTTGATTTTATTGCAGTTCACAAGAGTGATAAAAATGTGACTTGATCTGTAGATGTTGGTGTATTTAAGAAATGATTATTGTCTGTTTGGACAAGGAAGATTTTTCACATATATGTGCCACTTGAAGATGTCATCTTAATATTTAAAGAAAAAGGTTCTAGTGACATGCATTAATCTTTGTGTGTTGTGACTTCGGTGTGTTTGCCTGCAGACCTCCAGCAATCATGTATTCATGTCAAGTGGCCCTTTCTCTAGTGGAACTAATGGAAAGCCCTAGTTCTACAAATGGGTGGAAAAAATCTTTGCCGGCCAGATTTAGACATTGAAAAGAGGGGCAGCTTTTTGCAGTAATGCAGAGAAAGAGGGAGTGAGTGCCTAATGCCTTAGAGACATGCATCTGCTGACATTTCTCATCCTGCTTGTTAATGGGTTTTTTTGCGGTAATTTTTATGGTAAGAGACTACGGGGAAGGCTAGAGTTATTCATCACTGCTTGTGTTTCACACTGCTGCTATAGGCAACTTTGGTGTCTGGTCATTGTTCTTGATAGAGAAAGTCAAATCATAGTTTCCATTGCAGTGAACACATCCTAGATCAGCCCTATAAACTTTTGTGTTTTGTTTATATACAGACTGTACAGATTTATCTTGAAACATCACACAGAGGACACTTGGAGTTCTTTGAAGGGTGTAATGCCTGCTGTTTCATACTGCATGTGCATGTTTGATATATGAAGACATGTCGCAGCCACTTTATTTTGAATTAGAATAATAAAATGGCAGGGAAGTACTTTCAAGAGTATTGTGGCAGATAGTTTTGTCTCTTGTTTAATATAATTTGCATATTGTGTCCCCATTTGATTTGTTTAAAAAGACATGCAATATAAACAGCATATGTGTCTGTTCAAAAGTTTGGAGTCATTAATATTTTTGAATGTTTTTGAAAGAAGTCGTTTATGCTCAGCAAGGCTGCATTTGTTTGATAAAAATAACAGTAAAACATTGTCAAATGTAATATTGTGAAATATCATTACAGTTTAAAATTGCTGTTTTCTATTTAAATAATATTTTAAAATGTAATTTATTTATGTGATGGCAAAGCTGAATTTTCAGCATCATTACTCCAGTATTCAGTGTCACATGATCCTTCAGAAATCATTCTAATATGCTGATTTGCTGTTCAAGAAACATGTCTTATTATAGCAACACATTAATAGACAAAACAAAATTGATGAGGGATTTACTTAGAATCAGTATTTCATTCAGAAATTGCTTACATTTCACAAATAATTGCAAAGAAACTGCAAGTGACACATTTAATTGAATTTTGAAGTAGACTGTAATAGTGTTTTCTGTAACACTTTACAATAAGGGTACATGAATAATCATGTACTAATGCCTAAATTAATACTTAATTCACCATATACTAATGATTATTAAAGGTTTTAACTAATCGTGAACTAATGAAGTGCTATCTTTAACTATGACTGGAGTCATATGGATTCACGCATGAATAACGGCAGCCTTAACTACATGTTAGTACATGTTTGATAGTTAAGAACTATAAAAACCTTTGTCTTTGTCTGTTGTACTTGTGGTTTAAAGGAAAAAAGATGACTCTTACTGCATGTTTAATGCTATTTTATTTGATGATTTGTTAATGCGTCATTGTGTCATGACTTTACTTTGAGGGGCCCATCATTACTAACTCATTATTAACTACCCATAAACTAAAATCAACTCATGGTTTGTTAATGCATTATTTTGCCATGACTTTACTTGAGAGGGCCCATAATAATTAATTCATTATTAACTATCCATACATGAACATCTACTCATGGATTGTTAATGCATTATTTTGACATGACTGTACTTGAGGGGGCCCAATCATAATCAATTAACTGTTAACTACTTACTAAACTCAGCGCATGATTTATGTTATACTTTCTATCAAAAACACATATACTAACACAGTGAGTATTGTGGCTGATTAAGAGATGCGGTGTGGCTTTTCAAGAAGTCAGAGAGCCAAGGTACAGGATCATCACGGCCTGCATCTGGATGGAGAGTGAACTGTACTGACACCCAGCAAACGTCATTTCATTTTTTAAGCTGCATATAAGTCACAGTAGGGTGAGTTTAAAGGGAAAGAGAACAACACAAAACAGACTAGATAAATTATTAGTGTATTTAGTGTATTTTCTATGCTTGATGAGGAGGATCACAGTAATCCTTCGCCACCCAATAATGATTATGACAATGCTGAAGATGTCAAAAGCTCAAATTATGATATTAAATTATTTAAATTAATTTCAAAGTCAGAATATTTCTTATTCCTTCTTAAAGAGGCTGTTTGATTTAGTTTACCCATAAATGTTAATTAATGCATTAACTATCAAACATGTATTTAAGGCTGCCGTTATTCATGCGTGAATCCATATGACTCCAGTCGTAGTTAAGGATAGCTCTTCATTAGTTCATGATTAGTTAACACCTTTAAAAATAATCATTAGTTTATGATGAATTAAGTATTAATTTAGGCATTAGTAAATTATTATTCATGTACCCTTATTGTAAAGTGTTCTTGTAAAATGCCAATAACCTTTATTTACAATGTTCAAAAATCGTATATAATATTATATAGGCATTAATATAGACTTAATTTGATGTGTAGTCTTTGTTGCATATATGTACAGCTGCTTCAAATTTGGCTCATCCAATTCGATTATTTTGCCAGCACAATTAATAATGTGAGAAACATGATGTAATTCTTAACTTTTTTTGTCTTTTGATATTAAACTAATTAAAACTGATGAAATCGTAATCTCCAGATTTTAATGGTTTCTAAATTCTCTCTCTCTTTTTTCTGGTCTCACATTTTTTCTTTCTCATCTTGTCTATTCGTCATCTCACATCTTGCATGTGTGCTGTGAAATATCTGCATAGCGCCATTGCAGCTGCATGGCTCTTTGGTGTTTCTAGACCTCAAAGCGGTTGATTTTCACTGGTGCTATATAGATATCAGAGAATATGAACTCAGATTCTGGTCATCTGGTTTCGGATCAGAGAAAAGGCTGATGTTTTTTAATTTTAATGGACAGAGGGGAAATGCATGATGAGTATGAGCTTTAGTGTGCATAAATTGATGTGCAGAAGATGCTTTTTTAGATGTACGGTCTCATAGGTCATAATGAAGGTGCAGAAGCCATGTGTGCTATCTATGGGAAATAGGATTCGTTTTGAAGCACAGATTTATAGTCCTTCTATAATTGATTTTTTAAAGTAGTGGATTTATATAACATTAATCAATTCTGCAAGCACTGGACAATGTTTATCTTTTTATCATCGTTTATTATCTTGTTTTAGTTTTGTTGTGTTTGTTGTTTTGATATTTGTTTTGTTTTGATTTTTATTTGTTTTATTATTTTTTAAATTGATTTTGTCTTATGCTATATTATCTTGTTTTGTTTAGTTTAGTTTTTTGTTACAATGATGGAATGCAAATGTCGGTGTGAACGGAAGCATCAACAGATGTTCCTTTAAATTAAAATGTTTATTTTTCTGAATTTTCACACTGAGCATTCGTCTTAGTGTGAACAGGCCTTTAGTAATGTGTGTCATGGCATTAAAACTCTTTATATGATATTTAAGCTAAAACAGAGTCTTTTGGTATTTCATTGTGTCTGTCATCTTCTGAATGCTTAAATGCATAACTGTCTTCTTAGGCTCCAGCCATATATTTTTCTTTAAAACCATCGCCATCTGTGTCTCTTTTACAGGGTGAAAGCAAAGAAAGGGGTGAACCTTCTTAGCACTAAGTCGAGGAGTAACCAGTGGAAGGTTGAATGGGATGTGCAGTCGGGAGCCAAACACTCCATTGCAACCGTGGAAGCCAGCAAGATCAAAGGAGTCCCTGGGTAAGTGAGCTTCCCCCCTTTTTGTACACTGATCTGGGAACAGCTTCCCTAGTGGGGAAACGTCTCGGTTACGTATGGCAACCCTCGTTCCCTTAAGGAGGGAACGGAGACGTCACGTCGGATGACCGACGAAATTGGGATCTCGCTTAGAGGGACCAATCTACTTCGAGTGTAAACTAAACGAGCCAATGCATATTGGCATGCGATTATTGCATCCAGCTGCTGCTGATCACAGCGTGAGTATAAGTAGGCAGCAGATGCAGCGCATATTCAGGTTTTCGCTGAGGAGCTGAGCCGGTGACCCGGCCGCTCAGCGGTGGTACAGGAGCTGTGGCGACGGGACGTGACGTCTCCGTTCCCTCCTTCAGGGAACGAGGGTT